TCCTACGGTCGGCGCTATGTGCGGTCGCCCCTCTCGCACTACCCTTGTTACGGACCCTGTATAAATCGGGTAAACGCATTTAATTTGTATAATTTTTAAAAGTTTCTTGAAGTGTACGTAACTTCTCTCGTTTTTTAACTTAAAATTACAATTTTCTTTGTTTTTTGTCCGTCCTGTAAGCGTTTATACAAGAGTTCAGTCATGATAGCTAGCTTCGTTTCAGAAGGTGTGTGGAATATTATTTTCGCTGAATTCATGGCTGAAAAATGTTTTCTTTGAATTTGAAAATCTAAAGCTGTGGTAGTTTACGTCATTTCCGGACCTAAGCCGACCACCACCCACCACGTAGAACTCGATCTCACTGCCACGTATTAAAGGTGCGTATTAAAAAAAAAGGAAAACAATTTGATCAGATTTTCTAGCAGTGTTTCTGTAGTGCTTACACAAGAGCAGATGACTAATTACAATTTTTCGTGTTATTTCTAAGAATTAACACTAGTCATCACTTCATATTTTATTTAAACTTTCAGTTCAATACAGCACTAAAATATTTATTGATATCTTGTTAAAATAGTTTAGGGATAGTCAAATAACCATATTTGAAAGCTTTCCAGCGAATACTTGGCATCGTAGGGAAGTTGCAGTTTTGGTGTGTCTACACCAGTGAATTACAAACTGTGTGTCGCAGCAAGTTACTAGGACTGTCGCGAGAGTTTCACCAAACAAAGAATATTAAAAAAAAAACTCCAAAAAGTTATTACATGTGGTAGCAGGGGTGTCACACAAATCAAAGTAAGTGGGTTAGGGTGTCGTCAGTGAAGAAATTTGGAAACCACTGCTCTACACCTTTTGATGTTTCCGTCATTCAGGTTCAGATCTTTCAAGGTGATTAATATATTAAACGATATAATTTAGTACATTTAAATTAATCTAGTCCTAGAAAATATGTGGTGAACTACAATAATAGTGTGAAGTGACGTCAGATAATGTAGGTGTTAAGAAAAGGTTCCAAATTTAACCAAATATCACGACTCGTGAGAAGAATCAATTAATAGAAGATTCATTGCGAGATTAACATAACCCGAATTTTGCCACCTTAAAGCAACAATTAGCACTCAGTTTTATTTTTATTTGTGCTTAATATAAATTTGACGTTCGTACAATCTTTGATGAAAAGTTAGACATTTCGTATCTGTCGTTTGTTTTTGAATTTCGCGCAAAGCTACACGAGGGCTATCTGCGCTAGCCGTCCCTAATTTAGCAGTGTAAGACTAGAGGTCATCACCACCCATCGCCAACTCTTGGGCTACTCTTTTACCAACGAATAGTGGGATTGTCCATCACATTATAACGCCCCCACGGCTGAAAGGGCGAGCATGTTTGGTTGGATGGGGATTCGAACCCGCGACCCTCAGATTGCGAGTCGAGCGCCTTATCCACATGGCCATGCCGGGCCCGTATCTGTCGTATGCACGTGTTTCAAATATCAGGATCATTAACTATTTCATTCTCTTCTCACTTAGTGAAGATAGGACTTTGATTTTCAAAGTTCACTTATTTGTTGATAACCGGTTAGTTGAGCTCAAGCTTACCTAAAGTTACGTAAGAATTATTGGTTTGTTTATATTTAGTTGAATGTTTATTTTTATTTTCCTTCTGTTTACATTAAGGACATGACGAAAGTTAATAAAAATGACTTAGTTAAAAAAAATGCAAAAGTGTTATACGTGTGCATTAAAATTTTAAATTGATTTTAAGACAATCCAATAACGAAAACCTCTACCCTACGTTGTATACGTTTAAAACCACTTTTTTTTTTCTCGTCTTCGGTTAGGAAATCAACTATAAAACCACAAAAAGCTACATTTCGATAAGCAGAGCTTCCTATTGTGGTAGAGAACGTTTTAGATATTGCTGTTGTGAAACAGTACATGACATAACTTTATCTCTTGTTGATACATGCAGATAATTCAACCAGTGACGTTTATACCCGTGATGTTCACATCACAGATAGTCCATTGTATAGCTTAGTGCTTAACTAGAAACAAACAAAACATGCAGACGATGTAGGACCTAGGTTCTGTAATCATTTGTATTTCTAAGACACGACGATTTGTAAGCATAATGAAAATTTTTAATACATACTACATGTTTCGACAGAACATTGGTCTGTTTTCCTCAGGTATATTACGCTTACAAATCGTTGTCATATATATATATACGATTCTCCTAGCGTAATGTGGTTCCCTACACAAATATCTAATCATTTGCTACTTATCTCATAACGCTCTCGTGTACCATTTTCAAATAACCTTTTATGTACTAATATTCCTTTGCTGAACACCGATATTTTTGTGTGATACGCTTTGTAAATAGTTTTGACATTTAACGACGAGTTTTGGATCGATCGTTATAAGCCAGTCAAGGAATAAAGTAGTATTGTGTGTATATAGAAACTAGCTTAATGTGTATGATTTCAAGACTTGCTGTGTTTAATAGGCTAGAACTGGAAATGTTTAGATTATTTTGGTTTGTAGCTTGTCAAGGTGTCATAGTTGCTAAAGTGAAAAGTTATGGCCACCTTAAAACCCATCATAGATATTCATGTTATCATAGCTTTAACATGTTAGCACAAATGTTATCACGTTAACAGTTTTAGAGTGGAATCAGTAAAATATCGTGAGATAGCGGAATATAGTACATGTGTATGTATTTATGACCTTCTTTATAAATTATTTTTAAATGTATTGCTCCATTGTGCTTCTGATATTGTAACTTTCCTGAGATGGTTATCTGTTAGTATATTTGAATAACGAATTTAACGTCTCTCCGATATATTAAAATAAGCGAATATGTTGCAAAATTACTTTTGTATTTAGTGATTGAAATGAAGGCATACAAAAAATCATGAAGCTTTCTAAATGCTTTCGTATAATTAATGATTGTTCAGTGTCGTATAGTTGTTACAAGGTAAGTTCACAAACAGCTTTTCATGCATACTCATAATATTTCCTGATTTCTTACAGTTCATCCTATTCTCAGATTTTCCGTTCGGTAGAACCGATGTAAAAAAAGTGTGTAAGTGATCTCAGAGAATCTCATCATATTGTACCAACACTTAATAAATCATTTAATCTAAAATCCTTGAGAAGAAAATCTCGTGAACTGATAAATGATATTTCATCGCCTAATTGGATTTGATTGACTAAAGTAGTTTCACAGTGAACTCAAAATTCATGAATCAACAACAAAATATAACGTGTAGGCTTTGATGTATAATCTACTTTGTTCACTACTAATACCTAGTCTATTGCATAGGGAGTATCGAATCAAACAATAGATTAGGGTTTACGTCATTTGCGGATTCTTTTTTTTCTTCACTGAAATTACAGGTTTTGGTCACAAAAAATTCACAAATAAATTACTTGTAATGTCTGCAATCTAATATAGCAACAATGTGCAAAATTTTATTTATTAGTTATTATTTTAAAGGACAAAAATGTTTAAAGAACATTCACTTTGATACCAGAAATCTGTAAGTTCAGTCTCAGGGATGTACCAAACCAATCGCTGTTGAACAGGGGTGAAACGGCCTACGAAAAGGATATTTTTGATTGGGTAAAATCTAACCCCGCCATCTGACGTCCCTACGAGATAAGTTCTTACTGTTGTGTCATGGTAACCGGACGTGAGTTTTTGGTCGAGCGTGTTTGTTAAGATCGCGTATTCGACCTTGACATAGAACTAAGAAAAAGTGATTAATACTTGACGAATTCTTCTTTTTAATAAATCGAGCCTTTTACGAGTTCGATAGGGTTCTTGATGACAACAATGTGCTTTTTTAAAGATGAGTGAACCAATTGATAAATTAAAAAAGCATGCACGAAAATTGATTCACAAACATTGAGAGTTTTATCGTTAAATCACTAATTATGGACAGCTAGACCTATTCACCACGCGCAGTGCAAACACAGTCACAAGTAGTGCTTTTTTATTTTAAATTATTGGATGGTACTTTGATCTTAACGCCCCTTTTCATCACGTATGAATTGTATGAAAATTTACGACTGAAATTTGTTACACAGAATAGTAGAATTTTGTCTTTGTGAAGAAGCCATTCTCTTAAATACTTGTTTATTATTTCCAGCTCAGAACACTACTGGGAAATAAGCTTTCTGCTTTTGTTATTCTGTGCCTTGATTGGCTTTGTTCCAATTGTGTACCAGTGGAAAATTTAATTTGCATTTTCTATGTACCCACTAGTCACGAGTGTACGTATTACGTATACCTGCATTGGACAGTCATTTTTCAATAATAATGGGGGGGGGGGGGTTGATTACTTTGAGCAGCATATTTACTGTTTCCGTGAGGCTATTACATATTTTTTGTGTTTATAGCCAAAGTAAAGATCTTTAAGTATATTTTAGACTTCTTTTCTGAACTTGTCAATCACTCGAAATTGCTTATTCGGCATTGTAGTTGTAAGTCATAAATTATTGTATATACTGTACACGAATAAATAACACTAGATTAATGAAAACAAAACTAACAACAATAATTGTATACAAAATAGTAATGAAGTTCGTATTAAAATATCGACGTTAGCGATTCAGTAAGAAAGGAATTTTGTTATTTTCATTTGCTAAAGAGCATATATTTGTTTCCTGTTGCGGGTTATTGTGAGGAATCAGTTTATAAGCTCAAAGCGAATACTCAAATAAATAGGATTTTTGTTGTTGTTTTTTTTTGCAATTTCCGCCAACGGGAATTCTTGTTATTAACTATTAAGAAATTACTCCTGTTAAACTATCTTATAAGATGAAACACTTTTTTACAGTTTTAACCAGTTTAAAAAACATCGTCCGAAATTTTATTTTTTAGATAATTTTCCGTTCTTTGGGCAAGTTATTAATTTCAATTGCTTTTATCTTCCTTTCGAATCCTAACAGACTCCGTCATTTAAACTGATTGTAAGCTACTTTGTGACTTTTTTTTTTCAGGTTTCAAGTTCATGGACTCCGAGTTGTTAGTAGAGCCATCAGTTCCTCAAGGCCGGAGGTAAGTTTTTGCTGTTGTGATAATTAGGGCTAACTTGTGTAACCTAGTGTATTGTTACTGTATGAGTAATAAGCTTCAATTGTTATTTATTTGTGAGATAAAGTCTTTTATAAAAATCACGTCCGTTGGATGCAGTCAAATTCATAATATATGTTAATACACGTTGATATGAATTATATGTTATAAAATGGGGAAAAATTATAATACTTGATAAAGATTTAGGCTACGTAAAAGTATAGACTAAATATTC